CAGCTCGACAAACATGAGAAATTTCCACGCCATGAAAAAACATCAACATCAACAACATTTTTAATTAAATTGTAACTTTGCAAAAGGGGAGTGATTAATGCGGGTACTAGGCTGCAGGATATTTTTAAAAGGACCAACAACAACAGCCATTAAAGTAGATTTTTAAAAAAAAAATATTTTTTAAAAAGATTGAAAAACATTTTTTTTTTTTAAATATTTTTAAAGTTCTAATCAACCAGAATTTTTAAGAAATATTTTTTTCAAGGCTCAAAAATATGAAATGATTTTAAAAAACATTTTTTTTACATTTCTTAAAAAAAAAAATTTAAGCAATAAACGCAGGTTTTAAGGAATATTTCCGGGGCCTCTCAACGTGAATTTAAAAGAAAGAGAAAACAAAAATTTTTCAGGGCCCCGACGTGATTTTTTAAAAAAATATATATTTTTGAGGTCTGCAAAAGTGAGTTTTTAAAAATATTTCCAAGAACTCCAAACGTATATTTTTAAGGAATTGTTGCGAGGTTTCCAAAAGTGAAAATTTGTGGGACTTTTTTACAACAAGGTCTCCAAATGCAGATTTTTGAAATATTTTCCGAGGTTTCCAAAAGTAAATTTTTGAAAAAAGATTTCCAAGGCCTCCAAACTTGGATTTTTTAAAGAATTTTTCCCAGATTTCTAAAATTGATTTAACCCTTTCAGTGTCAATGACAATTTTTGTCGAGATAAAAATCTGAAATTCCGTACTAATTTGCTAAAATATGCTCAGAAATTCGAAAACGAAACTAATAGAATAGAACTGCAATATTTTTAAATAGCGAAAAAATATTATTAAAACATATCAAAAATAACGGTTCGTAAGAAAAACAAAAAATGGCAAAGAAAGAGAGTACTTTTAAAACACTGAAAGGGTTAAAGGAGTTTTCCTACATCTCCAAACGCGAATTTTTAAATAAAAAATTCGAGGTCTCCAAACGCGGATTTTTATAACATTATTTTAGAAAAAAGTATCCAATTTCTCCAAATTTCTCCAAAGAAATTTTTGCGAGGTCCCCAAAAGTCCCCAAATGTAGATTTTTTATAGAAATTTTTGAGAAGTCCCGAAAAGTCTCCAAATGCAGATTCTTTAAAGACATTTTTGCGAGGTCTCCAAAAGTGGATCTGTATAAGACTTTTTTACAACAAAGTCTCCAAATGTAGTTTTTGTAAAGAAATTCTCCGAAGTCTCCAAAAGTGGATTTGTATAAGACTTTTTTACAACAAAGTCTCCAAATGTAGTTTTTGTAAAGAAATTTTCTGAAGTCTACAAAAATGGATTTGTATAAAAAAAACAACCAAGTCTCCAAATGCAGATTTTTGAAATATTTTCCGAGGTCTCCAAAGGTAATTTTTTGGAAAAAGATTTCCAAGGCCTCCAAACTAGAATTTTTTAAAGAATTTTTCCGTGATTTCTAAAATTGACTTAAAAGAGTTTTCCTACATCTCCAAACGCGAATTTTTAAATAAAAATTTCAAGGTCTCCAAACGCAGTATTTTATAACATTATTTTAGAAAAAAGTCTCCAAATTCTCCAAATGTCTCCAAGGAAATTTTTGCGAGGTCCCCAAAAGTCTCCAAATGTAGATTTTGTAAAGAAATTTTTGTGAGGTCTCCAAAAGTCTTCAAATGCAGATTTTTTAAAGACATTTTGCGAGGTCTCCAAATGTGGATTTGTATAAGACTTTTTTACAACAAAGTCTCCAAATGTAGTTTTTGTAAAGAAATTCTCCGAAGTCTCCAAAAGTGGATTTGTATAAGATTTTTTTTACATCAAATTTTTGCGAGGTCTCCAAAGGTAAATTCTTGGAAAAATATTTCCAAGGTCTCCAAACTAGAATTTTTTAAACAAAATTTCCGAGATTTCTGAATGTGATATAAAAGAGTTTTCCCAGGTCTCCAAAAGGGAATTTTTAAATAAAAATTTCGAGGTATCCAAAGTAGATTTTTCTCTCTCCAAACGTGGTTTTTTGCCAAATAATTGTTCTACAAATAAGTCTCCAATAGTAGATTATTTAAAGAAATTTTTGCGAGGTCTCCAAAAGTGGATTTTTATAAAACTTTTTTACAGCAAAGTCTCCAAATGTATTTTTTGTAAAGAAATTTTCCGAAGTCTACAAAAATGGATTTGTATAAAAAAAACAACCAAGTCTCCAAATGCAGATTTTTTAAAAAAAAAATCCGAGGTATACAAAGGTAAATTCTTGGAAAAATATTTCCAAGGTCTCCAAACTAGAATTTTTTAAAGAAATTTTCCGAGATTTCTAAAAGTGATTTAAAAAAGTTTTCCCAGATCTCCAAAGGCGAATTTTTTAATAAAAATTTCGAGGCATCCAAAGTAGATTTTTCTCTCTCTAAACGTGGTTTGTGCAAAACAATTGTTTTACAAATAAGTTTCCAATAGTAGATTTTTTAAAGAAATTTTTGCGAGGTCTCCAAAAGTGGATTTTTATAAGACTTTTTTACAACAAGGTCTCCAAATGTAGTTTTTGTAAAGAAATTTTCCGAAGTCTCCAAAAGTGGATTTGTATAAGATTTTTTTACAACAAAGTCTCCAAATGCCGATTTAAAAAAAAAAATCCGAGGTCTCCAAAGGTAAATTTTTGGAAAAAGATTTCCAAGGTCTCCAAACTAGAATTTTTTAAAGAAATTTTCCGAGATTTCTAAAAGGAGATCTCCAAAAGCAAATTTTTAAATAAAAATTTCGAGGCATCCAAAAGTAGATTTTTCTCTCTCCAAACGTGGTTTTTGCAAAAAAAAAAATTGTTCTAAAAAAAGTCTTCAATTGTAGATTTTTTAAAGAAATTTTCCGAGGTCTCCAAATGTGGACTTTTATAAGACTTTTTTGCAACAAAGTCTCCAAAGGCAGATTTGTTAAAGAAATTTTTGCGAGGTCTCCAAACGTGGATTTTTATGAGATTTTCAAGGTTTCCAAAAGCGGGTTTCGCAAAAAAATGTTTTACAAAAAGGGTCCTCAACTGCAGATTATTTAAAAAATATTGTACAATATCTCCAAAAGTGATTTTTAAGAACATTTTCTGATTTCTCCAAACGTGTACTTTTTAAAGAATTTTCCCAAAGTCTCCAAAAGCGAATTTTTAGAAAACCGAGGTCTACAAACGTAGAATTTTATAAGAAATTGAAAAGTCTTCAATTCAAGATTCTTTAATGAAATTGCCCAAGGTCTCCAAAAGTAATTTTTTTAGAAAATTGTCTGAGATCTCCCAACGTGGATTTTTTTTAAAGAATTTTTCCGAAATCTCCGTAGATGAATTGGATATTTTTTAAATTCCAATGTTCCTCAAAGCGATTTTTTTTTTTTTCATAAAAAATGTCTCCAAACGTTGATTTTTCAAGATTTTTTCCGAGGCCTCTAGAAGCGAAGTATTTAAAAAAAATTCCCAAGGTTTTCAGGTATGATTTTTTAAAAACACTCTAAAGTCTCCAAAACTTGGATTTTTTAAAGAATTTTTCCGAAATCTACAGACTTAGATTTTTTAAAAAAATTTCCAAAATCCCTTTTTTTTAAAACGAGTATTCCAAACGTAGATTAAGATTTTTTATAAAAAAGTCTCCAAACGTGGATTTTTCATGATTTTTTCCGAGGCCTCTAGAAGCGAATTATTTAAAAAAAATCCCAAGGTTTTCAAATATGATTTTTTAAAAACATTCTAAAGTCTCCAAAGCTTGGATATTTTAAAGAATTTTTCGAGGGTTCCAATAGTAAATTTTTATAAGATTTGTTACAAAAAAAGTCTACAAATATAGACTTTTTCCAAAGCTCTCCAAAAGTAATTTTTAAGAATATTTCCCGAGGTCCCCAAACGTCGATGTTTTAAAGATGTTTTTTAACATCCCAGTAGCAAATTTTTATCCAAAAATACCATGGTCTCTAAACGTGGATTTTTAAATTTTTAGGTCTCCAATAGCAAATTTTTAACCAAAAATGTAGATTTTTTCCAAAAGTAGATTTTTAAGGAAATTTTCCGAGCTATCCAAGTGTTTTAGGATTATTTTACAAAAAAGTCTCCAAATGTAGATTTTTTCAAAGTCTCCAAAAGTGACTTTAAAAAATTCTCCAACGTGGATTTTTAGAAACAATTAATAAAAATTTTAACTAAAAACTCCATGCTCTCCAAACCTGAATTTTTAACGAATTTTTTGACCAAAAGTAAATTTTATACTAAAAATTACATGGTCTCCAAACGTGGATTCGTTAAAGAATTTCTTGGTCACTCCAAAAGTCTCCAAATTTGTTTTTTTTTTTAATTTTTTTTGAGCACTTTAAAAGTTTCCAAACGCAGATGTTTTAAAGTATTTTTATAGCACTCGTGGATTTTATAAAGAGTTTTTTGAGCTCTCCAAAAGTCTCCACACATAGATTTTTTAGAGATTGGATTTTTTAAAGAATTTTTTGAGATCTACAAACAAGGATTTTTTAAAGAATTTTTTGGGCTCTCCAAACTTGAATTTTTAAACAATTTTTTGGGTTTTTCAAAAGTCTCCAAACATGGATTTTTAGAATTTTTTAAACTCTCCAAACTTGGATATTTTAAAGAATTGTTTGTGCTCTCCAAACTTAGTTTTTTTTAAAGAATTTTTTGAAGTCCCCAAACGTGGATTTTTAGAGCTCTCCAAAAGTTTTCACACGTCGATTTTTTAAAGAACTTTTTGAGCTCTGCATGAGTCTCCAAAAGTGGATTTTTAGAGAATTGTTGAATTCTCCAAAATTTTTTTTAAAGAATTTTTTGATCTTCCCAAAAAGTTTCCAAACGAGATTTTTTTAAAGAATTTTTTGTGCTCCCCAAAAGCCTCAAAATTAAATGTAAAAAAAATCCAGCATTTATATCCGGATTTTTAAAGGGTATCTGAATTTTTAAAGGACTTCTAAAAGTGTTTTTTAGAATTTTTGAAATTAAATTCAGGCAACTTTTTTCAATATTTTTTTTTTCATTATTTCTCTGCAGAAAAACAAGAAAAAGCAACACCACCATCACAACAATCATTCGGCCCCAAAACCAGCACATTCCGAAACAGAAGACCACCACGATGTTCTGGAGGAGAAATTACAAAATTTACACATTGAAGAGAATGGTGGTGCAGCGAAGCCCTATCGGGTGGAGATATCCCAAATTTATGGACGCTACTTGGTGGCAAATCGTAATTTGAGGCCAGGGGAGATACTCATCAAAGAAAAGGCCTTGGCCATTGGACCCTGTGTCTCGGCCGAGCCGGTTTGTTTGGGCTGCTACATGCCGGTCACATTGAAGGCAACACAGTACAGGTGGGTGAGGGGTGGGGGAGGGTATTTTACCTAGAATATCTTTTAATGATTTGGAAATTGTTTCTTTGTTCCAGATGTCCCTCCTGCCGCTGGCCCATGTGTGGTGCCCAGTGTCGTGGCCTAGGCAAGGACACCGGCCACACGGCCGTGGAATGTGAACTGTTCACAAGGGAAAATACGGCCGCCCCACTTACTCCTGATGCCTCACCGGTCAAGGTGAAAAATCTCTATGAACTGGTGTTGGTGGCGCGCATCCTACTGCAAAAGGAACAAAATCCCGAACTCTATGGTCGCATCATGGTCATGGAATCCCATCTGGAAATGCGTCAAAAGAATCCCGAACTCTGGAGCCACTATGAAAGTAATGTCGTGAAATATCTGCGTGAAAATTGGCATTTGGCCGAAAGGTTCACATCCGCGGAAATTCACACGGTCTGTGGCATTTTGGATGTGAACTGTTTCGAAATAGGTCAAAATCTGGCCAAGGCACGCACCTTATATCCCAGTGCTTTCCTATTGGCTCACGATTGCTGTCCGAATACGTCGCACACCGATGACCCGGAGACGTTTGATATTATTCTGAGGACATCAAGGGCGGTCAGGAAGGGGGAGGCCATAACGCTGAGCTATGCCTATACTCTGCAGGTGGGTTGAATAAAAATACGAAAATAATTAGAAAATAAATAAAAAATAAAGAAATACTAGCGGAGAGCGACCATCGGCTGTTATGGCGGCCCAAGGCCTACACCATCACCATGGCCGGTGCTTGAGTTCCGGAGGCCAACCATCTTCGAAAAATCCCTCTAGCTTCCGAACTAAATGAAGTAGATTGATAAAATTTTACTCAAATGTATATTATGCCTGTAGAACTTTTGGTATTGAAAATGGGCCATGTAGGTCTACGTTTTGGTATAGCCCCCATGTAACGATACCTCCCGATATTCGGTTTTTTCATGATTTTAGCAACATTATTTACCGGAAATGTTTCAAATTTGGTATGTGAAGTTCGAAATGGATGCTACAACGTATGACAGAAAATTTTCTCTGCAGGTCCACGTCTTCGTATAGCCCCCATGTAACGATACCTCCCGATATTCGGTTTTTTCATGATTTTAGCAACATTATTTACCGGAAATGTTTCAAATTTGGTATGTGAAGTTCGAAATGGATGCTACAACGTATGACAGAAAATTTTCTCTGCAGGTCCACGTCTTTGTATAGCCCCCATGTGACGGTACCCCCGATATTCGGTATTTTGATGATTTTAGCGGCATTATTTACCGAAATTGTTTCAAATTTAGTATTTGAAGTTCTTAATGGGTACTACAGCCTATGACAGAAAATTGTCTGCGCAGGTCCACGTCTTCGTATAGCCCCCATATAGCGGTACCACCCGATATTCGGTATTTTGATGATTTTAGCGATACTATTCACCGGAATTGTTTCGAATTTGGTATTTGAAGTTCGTAATGTATACTACAGCCTGAGACAGAAAATTGTCTGTGTAGGTTCACGTCTTCGTATAGCCCCCATATAGCGGTACCTCCCAATATTCGGTATTTTGATGATTTTAGCGCCATTATTTACCGGAATTGTTTCAAATTTGGTATTTGAAGTTCGTAATGGATACTACAGCCTATGGCAGAAAACTGTTTGTGCAGGTCCACGCCTTCGTTTAGCCTCCATATAACGGTACCTCCCGATATTCGGTATTTTGATGATTTTAGCCACGTTATTCAACGGAATTTTTTCAAAATTGGTATTTGAAGTTCGTAATAGGTACTACAGCCTATGACAGAAAATTGTCTGTGCCGGTCCCCGTCTTCGTATAGCCTCCATATGACGGTACCTCCCGATATTCGGTATTTTGATGATTTTCGCGGCATTATTTACCAGAATCGTTTCAAATTTGGTATTTGAAGTTCGTAATGGGTACTACAGCCTAGGACAGAAAATTGTCTATGCAGGTCCCAGTCTTCGTATAGCCCCCATATAGCGGTACCCCCCGATATTCGGTTTTCTGATGATTTTAGCCACGTTTTTCACCGGAATTGTTTCATATTTGGTATTTGATGTTCGCAATGGGTACTACACCCTATGACAGAAAATTGTCTGTTCAGGTCCACTTCTTCGTATAGCCTCCATATATCGGTACCTCCCGATATCGGGTATTTTGATGATTTTAGCGGCATTATTTATTATTTATTATTATTTATTTTGGTATTTGAAGTTCGTAATAGATACTACAGCCTATGACACAAAATTGTGTGTGCAGGTCCACGTCTTCGTATAGCCCCCATACAACAGTACCTCCCGATATTCGGTTTTTTGATGATTTTAGCGCCATTATTTACTGGAATTGTTTCAAATTAGGTATTTGAAGTTCGTAATGGATACTGCAGTCTAAGGCAGAAAATTGTCTGTGCAGATTTACGTCTTCGTATAGCCCCCATATAAGGGTACCTCCCTATATTCGGTATTTTGATGATATTACTCACGTTTTTCACCGGAATTGTTTCAAATTTGGTATTTGAAATTCCTAATAAGCACTACAGCCTATGACAGAAAATTATCTGTGCAGGTCCACGTCTTCGTATAGCCCCCATATAAGGGTTCCTCTCGATATTCGGAATTTTGATGATTTTAGCCACGTTATTCACCGGAATTGTTTCAAATTTGGTATTTGAAGTTCGTAATGGATACTACAGCCTATGACAGAAAATTATCTGTGCAGGTCCACGTCTTCGTATAGCCCCCATATAAGGGTACCTCCCGATATTCGGTATTTTGATGATTTTAACGCCATTATTTACCGGAATTGTTTAAAATTTGATAGTTGAAGTTCGTAATGGGTACTACAGCCTATGACAGAAAATTGTCTGTGCCGGACCACGTCTTCGTACAGGCCCCATATAGCGGTACCTCCTGATATTCGGTATTTTTTAATAATTTTTTTCTTTGCTTCCAGGGCACCCTGAAGCGGCGCGACTTCATGCAGGCTGGCAAATTATTCTGGTGCTGCTGCAGGCGCTGTTCCGACCCCTACGAGCTGGGCACGGACTGCAGTGCCATAGCTTGTGAAAAATGCCGTGCAGGCTTGGTTAGATCCACCAATCCCCTGGATCAAGAAGCCGATTGGAGGTACATTGGATACCATGCTAAAATGTTTTCATTTTTTTTCTAACCCCATTTTGCTGGCAAATTAACCGGTGCTCTTGAAATCGACTACGCCCCACCACACCCTTGAGACCCAACCTCAAGCCCCTTTTCCCTCTCTTCTTTTTTTCAATTTCAGATGTGACAAATGCCCCTTTGTCATGAAAAGTGAGGCTGTGGTAAAATTGCTGGATAAAATCAACAATGATTTGGATGCCATAGATGCCCATGACATACCGGGACTGGAGAATTTTTTGAAGAGGTATTTCAAAATAAAAAATTTTATTTTTTTTTTTTAAATTAAACAAATTTCCTTTTTAAGGTACTCTGGGCTCTTGGGAGAGAATCATTATCTGCTGTTGTCAGCCAAGTACTCGCTCTGCCAGTTGTATGGCAAGATTGAGGGTTATTTATTGCCTGATTTGTCGTTGGAGGATCTGCAGAGGAAAAAAAGCTACTGTGAACATTTTCTCAAGGTTGTGGATATTTTGGAGCCCCAATTGACCAGGCTAAGAGGTAAGGTACTCCAAAAGAAAAATTAGAAAAAATAATAAAAAGGCATATTTTTTTCAGGACTCATCATGTACGAACTCCATGCCCCCATGCTAATGCTGGCCCAGCGATCAATGATGATGCAGCTCACAACAGCCCGTGATTTTAATAAGACCATAAAAGAGGTCATACATCTGCTGAGGGAAAGTGCCAAAATATTAAAAATGGAGCCGGCCGGCTCGACGGAACATCAAATGGGCCTGGCCGCCGAGGAAGCCCTGCAAAAGATGGGAGTGCAATAGTGAAAAATGGAAATCCGATTTAAGAGAGCAAATAAATAAATTTAAAAAAATTCATATATTATTTTAATTAAAAATATTTAAATAAATTAAAAAAGATATTTTTAAAAAATCCACGTCTTGTTATATTTTGAAAAAATAATTTTTTAAAAAATCCACGTCTTGTTATATTTTGAAAAAATAATTTTTTAAAAAACCCACGTCTTGTTATATTTTGAAAAAATAATTTTTTAAAAAATCCACGTCTTGTTATATTTTGAAAAAATAATTTTTTAAAAAATCCACGTCTTGTTATATTTTGAAAAAATAATTTTTTAAAAAATCCACGTCTTGTTATATTTTGAAAAAATAATTTTTTAAAAAATCCACGTCTTGTTATATTTTGAAAAAATAATTTTTTCAAAAATCCACGTCTTGTTATATTTTGAAAAAAAAAAAATATTTTTAAAAAATCCACGCCTTATCATATTTAAGAAAAATATTTTTTAAAAAATCCACGCCTTATCATATTTAAGAAAAATATTTTTTAAAAAATCCACGCCTTATCATATTTAAGAAAAATATTTTTTAAAAAATCGACGCCTTATCATATTTAAGAAAAATATTTTTTAAAAAATCGACGCCTTATCATATTTAAGAAAATATTTTTTAAAAAATCCACGCCTTATCATATTTAAGAAAAATATTTTTTAAAAAATCCACGCCTTATCATATTTAAGAAAAATATTTTTTAAAAAATCCACGCCTTATCATATTTAAGAAAAATATTTTTTAAAAAATTCACGCCTTATCATATTTAAGAAAAATATTTTTTTAAAAAATCCACGCCTTATCATATTTAAGAAAAATATTTTTTAAAAGATCCACGCCTTATCATATTTAAGAAAATATTTTTTAAAAAATCCACGCCTTGTAATATTTTGAAAAAATATTTTTTAATAAATCCACGTCTGTTGATACTTTAAAAAATATTTTTTAAAAAATCCACGTCTGTTGATATTTTGAAAAAATATTTTTTAATAAATCCGCGTCTGTTGATACTTTGAAAAAATATTTTTTAAAAAATCCACGTCTGTTGATACTTTGAAAAAATATTTTTTAAAAAATCCACGTCTGTTGATACTGTGAACAACTATTTTTTAAAAAATCCACGCCTGTTGATATTTTGAAAAAATATTTTTTAAAAAATCCACGCCTGTTGATACTTTGAAAAAATATTTTTTAAAAAACACACGCCTGTTGATACTTTGAAAAAATATTTTTTAAAAAATCCACGCCTGTTGATAGTTTGAAAAAATATTTTTTAAAAAATCCACGCCTTATCATATTTAAGAAAAATATTTTTTAAAAAATCCACGCCTTATCATATTTAAGAAAAATATTTTTTAAAAAATCCACGCCTTATCATATTTAAGAAAAATATTTTTTAAAAAATCCACGCCTTATCATATTTAAGAAAAATATTTTTTAAAAAATCCACGCCTTATCATATTTAAGAAAAATATTTTTTAAAAAATCCACGCCTTATCATATTTAAGAAAAATATTTTTAAAAAATCCACGCCTTATCATATTTAAGAAAAATATTTTTTAAAAAATCCACGCCTTATCATATTTAAGAAAAATATTTTTTAAAAAATCCACGCCTTATCATATTTAAGAAAAATATTTTTTAAAAAATCCACGCCTTATCATATTTAAGAAAATATTTTTTAAAAAATCCACGCCTTATCATATTTAAGAAAAATATTTTTTAAAAAATCCACGCCTTATCATATTTAAGAAAAATATTTTTTAAAAAATCCACGCCTTATCATATTTAAGAAAAATATTTTTTAAAAAATCCACGCCTTATCATATTTAAGAAAAATATTTTTTAAAAAATCCACGCCTTATCATATTTAGGAAACATATTTTTTAAAAAATGCACGACTTTTAATATTTTGAAAAAATATTTTTTAAAAAATCCACGTCTTGTAATATTTTGAAAATATATTTTTTAAAAAATCCACGTCATGTAATATTTTGAAAAAATATTTTTTAAAAAATCCACGTCTTGTAATATTTTGAAAAAATATTTTTTTTTTTTTAAAAATCCACGGCTCTTATAATTTTGAAAAAATATTTTTTAAAAAATCCACGCCTCTTAGAATTTTGAAAAAATATATTTTAAAAAATCCACGCCTCTTAGAATTTTGAAAAAATATATTTTAAAAAATCCACGGCTCTTATAATTTTGAAAAAATATTTTTTAAAAAATCCACGCCTCTTAGAATTTTGAAAAAATATATTTTAAAAAATCCACGCCTCTTAGAATTTTGAAAATTATATTTTAAAAAATCCACGCCTCTTAGAATTTTGAAAAAATATTTTTTAAAAAATCCACGCCTCTTAGAATTTTGAAAAAATATTTTTTAAAAAATCCACGCCTTGTAATATTTGAAAAAAATATTTTTTAAAAAATCCACGCCTTGTAATATTTTGAAAAAAATATTTTTTAAAAAATCCACGCCTTGTAATATTTTGAAAAAAATATTTTTTAAAAATCCACGCCTCTTAGAACTTTGAAAAAATATTTTTTAAAAAATCCACGCCTCTCAGAACTTTGAAAAAATATTTTTTAAAAAATCCACGTCTGTTGATACTTTGAAAAAATATTTTTTTTTAAAAATCCACGTCTGTTGATACTTTGAAAAAATATTTTTTTAAAAAATCCACGTCTGTTGATACTTTGAAAAAATATTTTTAAAAATCCACGTCTGTTGATACTTTGTAAAAATATTTTTTAAAAAATCCACGTCTGTTGATACTTTGAAAAAATATTTTTTAAAAATCCGCGCCTCTTAGAATTTTGAAAAAAATATATTTAAATAAATCCACGCCTTTTAGAATTCTAAAAAATATTTCTTTTAAAAAAATCCATGTCGCATAGAATTTAAAAAAATATTTTTTAAAAAATCCGCGTCTCTTGATACTTTGAAAAAATATTTTTTAAAAAATATACGTCCGCTGATACTTTGAAAAAAATATTTTTTAAAAAATCCACGTCATATTTTTTAAACTATTTACGTATGTTGATAGTTGGAAAAAATATTTTTTAAAAAATCCACGTCATATTTTTTAAACTATTTACGTATGTTGATAGTTGGAAAAAATATTTTTTAAAAAATCCACGTCTGTTGATACTTTGAAAAAAATATTTTTTAAAAAATCCACGTCTGTTGATACTTTGAAAAAAATATTTTTTAAAAAATCCACGTCTGTTGATACTTTGAAAAAATATTTTTTAAAAAATCCACGCCTTGTAATATTTTAAGAAAATAATTATATATATATATATATATATATATATATATATATATATATATATATATATATATATATATATATATATATATATATATATATATATATATATATATATATATATCTTTTTTTTTTTTTTTTTTTGTATAAAAATCTTTAAAGGACCTCCATTTCTTTTCTTTCTCAAATTTTTTTTATTTGCTTCCTTGTTCTTCTTTGTTGAGTTTTTTTTGTTCACTCTAGCGTAGTTTAATGAGCAGCCATAGCTCATTAACATTTGTTGACGCAATAACCGAAAAACAAACATCATTAGGGTGGGTACCGACGTGGATGATGGAGCTGGCTAAATAAAAATGTAGACATCCAATGTTAAAATAAACTGGAGACAAATTAACAACGACAAAGGAGGTACAAAAAAAGAAAAAAAAAACTCCGACAACAACAAATGGCATCAGAAATGAGTGAAATATTTACTGACCCAGCCGCCCGAACGGCCCACCAAAGATGGCAACATTTTCCATCTTAACTAGGGGGTGGCCGCTAATCTCACGCTCTCAGTCAGTCAGTTAGTCAGTCACACAATAATTGTTAGAAAGCCAAAGAGGCCGGCTCGGAAAGGACATTAACGTATCCTTAATGTCATCAAATTAATTAACGAAGACAAAGAGAGAGTGCGAGACACTGAAGAGAGATTTCGTGCTAATTTGTCAGCAAATTTGTTCGGAGTGTGTGGGTGTATGTGCGTGTGTGCGTGCGTTTGGTCAAAGAAGGCTAAGAGAAACAAAAGATGATGAGATAGTCGAGATTTGATAAAACAGAGATTAATACGACAAAAAGGATTTGATGGATTTGTCAGAAGGAATAAAGGACCTCAAAGCTTGGATTTTTTATAGGATATATTTGTTTCAAGGGCCAAAAAGTCGAAGATTTTAAAGGATATTTTTCTAAGGACCAAAGGGAAGAGGATTTTTTTAAGATTTTTTTTTCAAGAAACAAAAAGGCGGGGATTTTTTTAAAGAATAACTTTTTTCAAGGACCAAGAAGGCAGAGATTTAGACAAAATTTAAGCGTTAAAAACACGAAGTTTTTTTAAAGGATATTTTCCAAAGGACCTTCAAAAAGTAAATGATTTAAAAAATATTTTTCCAAGGACCAAAAATACAAAAAATTGTTAAAGGATATTTTTCCAAGGACCTCCAAACAAGGATTTTCTTAGCAAATTTTTTAAGAAATATTTTTCGAAAGACTATGGAATGCAGACTTGTTAAAAAAAATATTTTTACAAGAACCAAAAAATAAAAACCAAAAATATGTTAAGGGATATTTTCCTAAGGAGGATTTTCTTAAAAAGATTTTTAAGGAATATTTTTCAAGAATCCTGAAATGTTGATTTTTGAAAAAATATTTTTTTTAAAGACCAAACAGACGAACATTTGTTAAAGGAAATTTTTCAAGGACCTCTAAAAGTGGATTTGGAGATTTTTTTAAGGATATTTTCCCATGGAGCCTTTAAAACGTGCAGATTTGTTTAAAAAATATTTTTCCAAGGACCAAAAAAATATGTTAAAGATTATTTTTCCAAGGACCTTTAAACGAGGATTTTCTTAACAAGATTTTGAAGGGATATTTTTAGAATGATTGCAGGTTTTGTTTAACAAATATTTTTTCCAAGAACCGAAAAGCCGAATATTTATTAAAGGATATTTTCCAAGGATATTATT